CGGAACCAGCCGCCATCCATGTGTGCCGACCCAGCTTTTCTACTAGCGTAAGTGTTAAAAAACCTAATATTATTGATATTTCTCTTAATTATTAATTGTGTGTGCATACCATCATAAAATTAAGATGTTATTTTTACTACAATGTACGTATTGTGTCGGAAAAAGTGGAGTTTGGGGGTCGGCCCAGTCTCTATTTCAATTAATTATTTCATTTACGCGTTTCTTGTTTTACGCGGGCCTCCACGGATTCAATTGACCGCGTAAATACAGACTATACTGTACTACAGTACAATAATTCATCTGGGATTGAATGTGGGATTTTGGAGGGAAAATTATTATTTTTCATTAATATTTTATCACCCCAGCATCAAATGAACCTAAATACAGTAATATGGGAATTATGGTGAAATTGCATACTACGGGTATTCTAAAAAGAGTGCGGGAGGTGAGTTGTTCTTTCCCTCCTCCTCCATCACCAGCCACCTCCTCTCCCGAGCTACGCACCCAAGCGTAGTTTTGTACAGTACATACTGTATCTTAATACAGTTGTACCCCGCTTTACGCGGTCAGTTGAACCCACAGGGTACCGCGTTAAGTGAACAACAGAACATATGGGACTAATTCCAATAGAGACTGGCCCGACCCCCAAACTCCACTTTTTGACGACACACAACTATGTTGTAGTAAAAATTTTATCTTAACTTTATGATGGTATGAACAAACAAGTAATATAGAAGAGGTTAGGTTAGGAAAAATAAAGGTTAAGTTAGGAAAAATAAAGGTTAGGTTAGGAAAAATAAAAGTTAGGTGTAACACTTACGTTAGTAGAAGAGATGGGTCGGCATACGGGGATGGAGGCAGAGGGGAGGGAGGGAGGAGGAGGAGGGAGAGGCGAGGCAGGCGGGAGCGGGTGGCGGGTGTGGCGAATCTAAAAATAGCGTCTCGAGCCGGACACTCTGCACGTATATGGGTAGATGAACCGCTTTAAGTGAAAGTTCGGTTCTGGCGAGGCACCGCGTATATGAGAAATCGCGTTAAGTGAAACCGCGTAAAGTAGGGTACAACTGTACTGTACAGTTGTACCCCACTTAACGCGGTCAATAGAACCCAGAGGGTCCCGTGTTAAGTGAAATCCGCGTTAAGTGAACAACAGAACATATGGGATTAATTCCAATAGAAACCAGCCCGACCCCCAAACTCCACTTTTTGAAGACACATAACTATGTTGTAGTAAAAATAACATCTTAATTTTATGATGGTACATGCACACAATTAATACTTAAGAGAAATAGAGAAATACAGTCGCCAAGTTAATGTCCATTCAAATAATGGACTCAACTCCCTCCCCCTCTCACACTACACTGCTGGCTCTTCCCTCTCTGAGAAATTTTTGGGGGAAAACCACTAAATTTTAATAAATAATACCTCAAACTAAAGTTAGGATAATACAATTGACATTGCTGGATTCCTTGTAAGACCAGGAATATTTTGAATATAATGTCATATATTTTGCACAAAAGATAACATATTTACTCAAGAGTGAACATTTTATCTAAAATTTGTATGTCTAATGCAAAATATATGATGTTTATATTCAAAATGATCACCAAATTATAAGAATTCCAGCAATGTAAATTATATTCTGACCGGGTAATTTGTATGAATTTTATGAGCTAAAACAAATATCTTCAGTTAATAAAAAAAAAAATATTCTTCACGACACTATCTGTCAATCAAAGTACCCCACCTTGCCACCCCCCTCTTCCAACCGCGCGGTCAGTCCCAACCCTCCCCCCCACCCGCCACCAATCGTCCCTTCAAGAGAAAGAGTAGGTGAAAAAAATAAATTTTAACATTTTGTATAAAATAATACCTCAGATTTAAGTTAGGATAATATAATTGACATTGCTGGATTCCTTGTAAGACCAGGAATATTTTGAATATAAATGTCATATATTTTGCACAAAAGATAACATATTTACTCGAGTGAACATTTTATCTAAAATTTGTATGTCTAATGCAAAATATATGATGTTTATATTCAAAATGATCATCAAATTATAAAAATTCCAGCAATGTAAATTATATTCTGACCGGGTAATTTGTATGAATTTTATGAGCTAAAACAAATATCTTCAGTTAATAAAAAAAAAAATATATTCTTCACAGGGTAACAGATGGTCGGTCGGTCCCTCCCTCCCCCCCCACCCCCCACCAACCGTCCCAAGGAGATGTGTGGGAAAACCAGAATACTTAACTTTTTTGTAATAAATAATACCTCAAACTAAAGTTAGGATAATATAATGACATTGCTGGATTCCTTGTAAGACCAGGAATATTTTGAATATAAATGTCATATATTTTGCACAAAAGATAACATATTTACTCAAGAGTAAACATTTTATCTAAAATTTGTATGTCTAATGCAAAATATATGATGTTTATATTCAAAATGATCACCAAATTATAAGAATTCCAGTAATGTAAATTATATTCTGGCCGGGTAATTTGTATGAATTTTATGAGCTAAAACAGGCAGTCAGGCAGGGTGGCGGGTGGGGCAAATCTAAAAATAGCGTCTGGAGCCGGACACTCACCGCGTATATGTGGAAAAAATCCGTGTTAAGTGAAAGTTCAGCTCTGGCGAGGCACCGCGTATATGATAAAACGCGTTAAGTGAAACCGAGTTAGGCGGGGTAATACTGTATAATTAATATTCTAATCCTATATCTTTTTCATCTTAGGGGAGCGTCCGGCTAAAGCACAAAATTCGTTAATAATTGATCAATCAATATTTATTTCCTGTCAGTAGTTATGGACACCAGATACATCTAATATACTATAGGACTAGGCGTGTGTCTGTCTGTCTGTCTGTCTGTCTGTCTGTTCTGGGCAGCCGAAACGGCACAATCGTTTTTCATCAAACTTGGTGGAAAAATCATAAAAAATTCGTAGAGTGGAAAAAACCTGGTCCCATGTCGATGGTTTCTTTAGGAAGGCATTAATTAACAATTTTATTTACGATAGAAAATGATGCAAGTCTACGGACTTGGCGCACCCTCATTCGCTGTACGCTAGCCAAGCACGAGCGTTCAAACTTTCACTGGGCATGAAGGTTCCCCTTGATCACTTGTTGTTGCTATACAGTACCCCTGAATTGGTTCTGCCTAGTCCCTAATACTGTACAGTATCTGATTTTTCTCTTATATTCTTATCAATTTTCAAAATCCTACTTCTCCATAACTTCTCGCTAAATTATGTTGAAATTCATTTGTAATATAGGTAATTTACTCTTTGAATGTAACAGACATTTCTGATTATCACTTTTGTATTGGGTGCATGAATTATTATTTTTCCTAACATCCCATTTTTTCCTCCAAATATTTATAAAGATAACTCAGCAAATAATAAACCAAGCCAAATATAAAGAAAATTGATATGTTACATCATACACAGTACGTTATTCTACTGCTTAGTTTTTTTTTTATTAGAATCAGCCCATAAATGGCAGAGCCTTAGGGATTTGAAGGTTAGAAAAACTCGTTCTGAGATATGGGCCAATAAAGGTGGCGTGAGAGTTACTCAAGATCGTACCTCACTCTCACATGTTTGATGGGTTGCTGGCTCATGACGATGGTCTCCTGTGGTTAGCTTGCTGAGAAATGTGCCAGATACTGATTTTTACCAAGTGATTGGTATTACTTTACACCAAAATATTATTAGAAATACTTTTCGACGGGGGGGGGGGTAGAAAAATTATGCATAGGTACATAAATATTACGAATTATGCAATAAAAATACGTCAGAATATAGCCATAGGCAACAGCATTCCTCAGGGATTTTTTTGAATATTTTCTTAATTTTCCAATTTTCATCTGGACACGCCCCTTAATCTATTGATCTATTTCATAATATATTTCTATAATAATAATTGACTTTTTGGAACTGCTCGGTTATTTCAGATTCATTCTGAATTCAAGCCGAAATCCAAATTAACAAGGGTACAGTGCTTATGAAACAAGCTAAGTTTCCCAACCATCTTCCACCCTTGAGTACCCTGAGGCATCTGCCTCAACCACCCTAGATAACCTGCCTATAACCTCTTCCAAGTGTAAACTTTACCAGCATCCCTACAGTGTTACTTTGGAGGCAGAATTGAGGAAGATAATTTGATGGATAAAGAAAAAAATTGTTCTTGTTCTTTATTTCATATTGTTAAATAATTATGTTCAGTACAGTGAATCTTGATAATTCTTGATGTAATCGCTCATAGGAGCGATTGTGGCTGTGCAGGACAATAAGACCCTCTAAGTTCATGCGATGATTATAATTCTCTCAAAACCTGTTGAATACATCTCACATGTAACAGCTGCTGATACATCAGGACACACAGTTTGAACAATATGATCAATGTACAGTACATAACTACAATTATTAAAGTCGTTTAATGTTCTCAGAGTATTCAACAGTTCACCATCACACTCACGTTTTACGGGTCCAGGATTAGACTAACAAGAACAAATACGATGTCCTACAGGAGGAGGCGGTAGTCTGCGGTAGTGAGCCTTCAGTTAGTTTAGTCAGCTATCCTTAGTTGTAAACAGTCTTTTCACTTCTTCCTCACTCCCTCTTACCCTTTCTATTCTGCCTGTATCTTCACTTACACATGTTGCTGGCGCGCACAATTGTGCTTGGTGGTAACACTTGATTTAAGTGCCAGAAGACATCGTGAATTAGCTATAGGTCTTGAGGGTACTGGGCTTGAGTGGTTTTATGGTGTTTATTTTTTCAAGATGAGTATAAATTGATATAAAACCTTTTTTTTTTCACTGACTTCATGTCCATACTTCAACCATATTGCTTTAATCTTTAAAATTTTTATCAATGTTATACAGTATATATTTTATATCCTACATTCCTCTTATTCTCATGTTGGATCAATACAGTACAGTACAGTATTATAGATCTCTTGAAATGATTATGATTTTGGTCTGCATCAGGTATCGAGCTCTTGATGCTTGGAAGCGCTGTACTTCGATTGCTATCAGAGAAACCAGGAAAAAGGAACTTCAGCAGGAGCTACTCAATTCCACAAAACTAAAAAGTTTCTTTGAGGACAATCCCAGAGATCTTCAAGTTCTGAGACACGACAAATCCAAACATGGACTCACACCCATGGTAACTAAGATAGCACTGTACAGTACATGTATTTTTTTGTCACACTGGTTCACATACTATCTGAAACAGGTTAATTTGTACAATTCAAAATTTAGCAACTGAGGTTATGTTGACTTAAAAGAAACAATGGATTTTTGCTTCTCTTATCACTGATTTATGACTAATGCCTTAGAGCAGTGGTTCCCAAACTGGGGGCCATGGCCCCCTGGGGGACCATACAGCAAAATTTAGGGGGCCATAAGCTGAGGCTATGTACACATAAAAATCCCAAGCCCCACCACACTAGAACAGCCAGTCAGCAGCTGAGCCAGCCAGAGATATGGATTGGGAGAGGGGGGCCATGGATAAGGATCATATATGAAAAGTGGGTAATGATCAGAAAAAGTTTGGGAACCACTGCCTTAGAGGATATGGAATTTGATAGACGAGCATTATGTGTGTGTTAAGACATGTCTTAATGTTAGCTGAGACTTTTTTTGGAGGTAGAAGGATTTTAATGTAAAGAGATTTAGAATGTTATAAAGAATCCCCTGAAAATTAGACAGCAGCTTATGTCACTGAAAGATTAACCAGCCTAATGCTAAACTAACCTATTCTTTGTGTGATCTGTTGTGCTACAACCAAGTAGTATGCATTAATAACTCTGTTTTTCAAGTAGTGTATCTTGTCCTTTAGACTCATCTGAAGCATGTACCGGAATACAACATTCCTGATAACCTACGCAGAGTCTCCAGGATATCCAAAAAGATCAAGGGCAACAAAAATGCCCCGAAAGTTAAGTTAGACAAGAACCAAAAAAAGCGTGCCACCAAAACTCAGCTGAAATATAAGGTAAACATTATTATTATTATTATTGTATTTTGTTGTTATTATTATTATTATTATTATTATTATTATTATTATTATTATTATTATTATTATTGTTATTATTATTGTTATTATTATTGTTATTATTATTGTTATTAGTTATTATTATTAGTTATTATTATTAGTTATTATTATTATTTAATATATATATATATATATATATATATATATATATATATATATATATATATATATATATATATATATATATATATATATATATATATATATATATATATATATATATATATATATATACAGTCAACCCTCACTTCACGCGGTCCCACATTCCGCGTTTCCACGTTTACGCGGTGCCCTGCCAGAACCCAGGATGCTCACATTCCGCGGTGGGTGTACCCCTTTACACGGTGAAGTATAATTTTTTTAATTTAGCTCATAAAATTCATACAAATTATCCGGCCAGAATATAATTTACATTGCTGGAATTCTTACAATTTGATGATCATTTTGAATATAAACATCATAGATTTTGCATTAGACATACAAATTTTAGATATAATGTTTACTCTTGAGTAAATATGTTATCTTTTGTGCAAAATATATGACATTTATATTCAAAATATTCCTAGTCTTACAAGGAATCCAGCAATGTCAATTATATTATCCTAACTTTAGTCTGATTTATTATTTATTACTAAAAAGGTAAACAGTCTGGTATTCCCACACATTTATCTAGTAGGGACGTTGGTGGGGGGTGAGGGGGAGGGAGGGAGGGACCGGCGACCGACCATCTGTTACCGTGTGAAGAATATATATTTTTTTATTAACTGAAGATTTTTATTTTAGCTCATAAAATTCATACAAATTACCCGGCCAGAATATAATTTACATTGCTGGAATTCTTACAATTTGGTGATCATTTTGAATATAAACATCATATATTTTGCATTAGACATAAAATTTTTAGATAAAATGCTTAATCTGAGTAGGTATGTTATCTTTTGTGAAAAATATATGACATTTATATTCAAAATATTCCTGGTCTTACAAGGAATCCAGCAATGTCAATTATATTATCCTAACTTTAGTTTGAGGTATTATTTATTACTATACAGGTAGTTCTCCTATAACGCGATAATTGTGTTCATGTAAAATATCGTGTTATAGAAAATCGCGTAATAGAAATAACAGGGCTTATGGAGAAAATAGGGTTAGGTGCAGATTACTCGAAATCGAAAAAATTTAGTAGGTAGCCTAATACAAAGGATAGCACAGTCTAAATAAATGTTACATTCATATCTAATAATGAAATCATACAGTAAATGTAACACTTTACTTGATGGGGGAGAAGGGTGATTTTGAGGTTGATAAAATCGAGCTTCTCTTCAAGTGTTATATCCTTTCTTTTACGATCATCACCGGGAATTCTATCACCAGAACGCTTCTCGTTGATATTCTTTACTATATTCACAGTTAATACAGTGGGGTATGCTATAACGAACGAAACTCCTACAACGAACATTATTTAATTTTTTTTTTTTCTAATTTATTGTTTTTTTATTACAAATATTGATGATATTCTTTATTTCAGGGGTTTAGATGCATATTTATGCACTTTTTTACAATTTTTACAATTTTATATTATATTTTTCAGTGTTAAGCGGTTGTATTTGGGGGCCTGGAACGGATTAATCCTATAACGAACGAATGCTATAACAAACAAGGTTCTAGAACCAATTAGATTCGTTATAGCATACCCCACTGTACCACAAAATTGGAGAAATAGTAAGCAAAAATCGCGTTATAGCAAACAAGCGTTCGCGTTATACAAATATCGTTCCTAATTCATAAATCGCGTTAGAGCAAATTCGCGTTATCAAAACACGCGTTATAGCAGAACTCACTGTACCTGGTTTTCCCCCCAAAATTTCTCAGAGAGGGAAGAACCAGCAGTGTAGTGTGAGAGGGGGAGGGAGTCGTGTCCATTATTTGAATGGACATTAACTTGGCGACTGTATTTCTCTATTTCTCGTAAGTATTAATGGTGTGCATGTACCATCATAAAATTAAGATGTTATTTTTACTACAACATAGGTATGTGCCTTCAAAAAGTGGAGTTTGGGATCGGCCTGGACTCCATTTCAATTAATCCCATATGTTATGTTATTCACTTTCACAGCGTTTCTCAACAGCGTTACCCTCCAGGTTACATTAAGCGTAAAGTGAAGATTAACTAATATATATATATATATATATATATATATATATATATATATATATATATTATATATATATATATATATATATATATATATATATATATATATATATATATATATATATATATATATATATATATATATATATATATATATATATATATATATATATATATATATATATATATATATAATATATATATATATATATATATATATATATATATACTACAGCGGTTAGGGACCCAAATCCAGGTCATAAGTCCGACATTGGTAGTAAGTCCGACATAGATAAAAAAAAAAAAAAAAAAAATTTAATAAAAATCTACAATGAAATACAGTACAGTAAAAGTAATGAATAATGATGAATGGATACAGTACAGTGAAAGTAATAAATAATAAGGAATGGATACAGTGTGACTGAGCACTTAACCTTTAATGTAGTCAGCTGAATGCACATGAGCCCCATAATTTTCTAATTATACATGGAGACATTAACTGGAAACGTTTCGGTATAGAAAATGCATGTGTCATTTTAAAAAAAAAAAAAATTTTTTTTTTATATCTATATCTGAGGCGGTCGTAAGTCTCGACAGTCGTAAGTCCACGTAGTCGTAAGTCGGGGTCTAGGTGTATATGTGTATATATATATATATATATATACACACACACACATACATACATACACACATACACACACAGTCATGCGCCGGTTAACGTCTGACCGAACAACGTCCGATCGCATATACGTCCGTGGCCCCCAAAAAAAACTGTATATGTGTATATATATATATATATATATATACACATACACATACATACACATACACACAGTTGCCACACACAGCGCGCCGTTAACGCCTGACCAACAACGTCCACGAGATATACGCCCCGTGGCCCCCCAAAAAAAAAAAAAACTGGACGCCTGCTGGACCACCACTCCACAACCCCTGACGGAGACACAATAACTCCTCCCCATACTGGTCAGATATTATGTGTTAAAGAAATATGCTTCATTTAGGGCTTTTCTAAGCATTTCTTGCCTCCAGGTGTAATGTTAACTCACATTCATTGAGGATAAAATCTTTCTGCTCCACAAATTGACAATAACACATTTGCTGCTGTAATCAGGACATATCTAGTTGCCTCAATAATTGCAAGTTGCATGGGGGTTGCAATTTCAAATTCTGTGGCATTACTAAAAATAGTAAAGTTTCACAGTGCACTCTAAGATTAAGAGAGAAACGAGGACCCCAGGCGTCCTGATGTGAGAGAAAAACGACTTGCATGACGGGGACCAAATAAAAAAAGTATAGCTACATGTTTTGTGGACTATAGTGCCAAGTATACCCCTTTTCATCACTCTTTTGTAATAGTAAACCTAGCCATGCCTATGTGTGTGTTTATGATATTTACTATAACATTATATATGTATTTAGTGGGTCTAAATGGTCGTGAAATGGGTGCCTGAACCAATTAGAATAAATCCTCTTAGGTTCTGTACTTTGTTATCGGCGGGGTCCCAATTAGGCGCTGGCACTAAGGGATGACTGTATATATCAGGACACTGGCCAGTTACTTGGTGTTATGGGTACAGGGTACCAAGTGACAGCACTAGGGATCCCACTTCCTCTTTCAAGGAATAAACGACAAAACTTAAATTGAAAAAAATCATTAAAATAAATTACTATCTACAAGAATCCTCCAATAAGTTATATTCACCCAGGTCAAGCTAGTGGAAAATTATGAGAAGAGCTTAGTCACTTGGGCAATGATAAACACGCAGGCCTTCAGCCAACTGTCAAATCTTATTCAAATAAATAAATAAACAACAAACGCCTCAGACATTCTGTCACCTCACTTCTGCCAAGGTTCTCCCACCTTCCCTTGTGTTCCCAGACAAAAGATTGGTGATTTCTTTATGTTTATTTTATATAATATCTCAGACTGAAGTTACTTATAATATAAATCATAATGTTGAAATCCTTGCAAGAATATAGAGATTAATTTGAATATAAACTCATATATATTCTTTTGTCTAAGATATAAAAAATAAAGCATTAGCGTACAATACTGTAGTACATCTTATGCATCAACTGTATTTTTGTAGATTATAAATTTCTTTCATTTATTTTCAACGATTTATTCACCATACTAAAATAAAACATAAAATAAAATTAGTGCAAAGCTGGAGTCCACATGTACTAATTTGATTACGGTAACTAAAAATTTTTATGTTCAGTGAGAAATTACATGTTTATATTCAAATAAATCAGTATCTTACAAGAACTCAGCCAGTTAATTATATTTTCCTAGGTCATATCATCACATTTTAAAATGAGAGAAGTTTAGTAGGACTACAAATAACACACAGAGCATTCCTTCACCTCAAACTTATCAGTTCTCAACCCCCACCCCACTTACTCCACTGGGCCATGGCCAGTCCCCCCAGCCAGGCTTTAGGCTTACAGTTTTTATCTTATAATATTCAGACTAGTTAGAGATTATACTTGTATTGTTGGAATCTCAAAAAGACAGCCAGTAATTTGAATATAAACGCCATATATTTTGCTCAAGAGATAAAATTACAGCAAGTGTCCAGTACTGTAGTATACTATAAAATATTTCTAACTGGTATTTTGGGTAGATTTATTATAGATTTCTTCTATTTATTTTCATCCATTTACATGCACACACCATACTAAAAGAAAGGTAATAGAAATAAATGACTATAAGTAAAAGTTGAGGTACATGTACTAATTCTGGATTATGGTACTAAAATTGTTTTGTCTAGTGCAAATTTTAGCATGTTTATATTCAAATTAACGTATGTTACAAGACTCCCAGCAATGTTAATTATATTCACCCAGGTCATTTCACTAGCTTTCTTTTATAAGAGAGAAGCTTAGTCACTTAAGAACTGATAATATACACGCGCTAGACCTGGGCCTGTGCCACCTGTCAAACGTACTACCTCCCCCACGCCCGCCTCCCTCTCTCCCCGAGATTCTCGGCGTTGCTGGAATCCATAAAACAGTGAATACTCTTAAGATAAAACGCCATGTATTTTGGAACAAAAGAGCAAAAATTAATCACCCGTATCACATGGCAGTAGTGATTTAATATAAAAGCGGCAAGGTACGTATATAGTATTCACAATACAAGTATACAAAAGTTTGTGATGATCGACACGTCTATTTTCGGTTAACGCTACGTTTCCAAAACGTATTTAGGAAAACGTATCTAGGACGTTAACACATATTTACTATATATATATATATATATATATATATATATATATATATATATATATATATATATATATATATATATATATATATATATATATATATATATATATATATATATATATATATATATATATATATATATATATATATATATATATATATACACACACACACACACACAGTATTACCCGCCTCACGCGGTTTCATAAGCGATTTTACCATTATATACCGGTGCCTGCAGAAGCTGAACTTTCCACTTAGCAGGTTTTTCCCTCTGTGATGAGTGTCGGTTTTTTCCACATATATCGGTGAGTGTCCGGCTCAGAGCTATTTTTAGATTCACCCCACCCGCCACCCTGCCTGACTGCCTGTTTTAGCTCATAAAATTCATACAATTACCCAGCCAGAATATAATTTACATTGCTGGAATTCTTACAATATGATGATCATTTGAATATAAACATCATAGATTTTGCATTAGATACAAATTTTAGATATAAAGTTTATTCTGGTAAATATATTTATTTTTGTGCAAAATATATTGTATTCAAAATATTCCTGGGCTTACAAGGAATCCACAATGTCAATTGTATTATCCTAACTTTAGTTTGAGGTATTATTTATTACTAAAAGGTAAATATTCTGGTTTTCCCACACATCTGGTGGGATGGTTGGTGGGGGGGTGGGGAGGGAGGGACCGACAACCATCTGTTACAATGTGAAGAATATATTTTTTTTATTAACTGAAGATATTTGTTTTAGCTCATAAAATTCATAAATTCATCGGTCAGAATATAATTTACATTGCTGGAATTTTATAATTTGATGATCATTTTGAATATAAACATCATAGATTTTGCATTAGACATACAAATTTTAGATGTAATGTTTACTCTTGAGTAAATATGTTATCTTTTGTGCAAAATATATGACATTTATTCAAAATAATCCTGGTCTTACAAGGAATCCAGCAATGTCAATTATATTATCCTAACTTTAATCTGAGGTATTATTTAATACAAAATGTTAAAATTTAGTTTTTCCAACATCTCTTGAAAGGATTGGTGGGGGTGGGGGGAGGTTGGGGACGACCATTAATATCTGCTGGAAGAAGGGACAAGGGTACTTTGATTGACAGATAGTGTGTGAAGAATTTTTTTTTTTTATTATTGAAGATATTGTTTTAGCTCATAAAATTCATACAAATTACCCGGCCAGAATATAATTTACATTGCTGGAATTCTTACAATATGATGATCATTTTGAATATAAATATCATAGATTTTGCATTAGACATACAAATTTTAGATATAATGTTTACTCTGAGTAAATATGTTATCTTTTGTTCAAAATATATGACATTTATATTCAAAATATTCCTGGTCTTACAAGGAATCCAGCAATGTCAATTATATTATCCTAACTTTAGTTTGAGGTGTTATTTATTTATTACTATACCTGGTTTTCCCCCCAAAATTTCTCAGAGAGGGAAGAGCCAGCCAGTGTAGTGTGAGAAGTGGGGGAGGGAGTTGAGTCCATTATTTGAATGGACATTAACTTGGCGACTGTATTTCTCTATTTCTCTTAAGTATTAATTGTGTGCATGTACCATCATAAAATTAAGATGTTATTTTTACTAGAACATAGGTATTGTGTTGGAAAAAGTGGAGTTTGGGGGTCAGCTGGTCTCTATTTCATTTAATCCCATGTTATGTTATTCACTTTACGCGTTTCTCACTTTCAGCGGTACCCTGTGGGTTACATTAACCGCTTAAAGTGTGGGTTGACTGTATATATATACAGGTTGACAATCCCTTATCCGAAATCCTTGGGACCAGATGCATTTCGGTTTTTGGAATTTTCTAGATTTCAGATTTTTTTTTTTTTTTTTTTTTTTTTTTTTTTTTAAACAGGGGTCAGCCCACCCTGGCACAGCAGGTCACTGACTCACATTGGGGCCTGGGTGCTAAAATATAATAATAATAATAAAAATAATAATTCATAGGTCTAGGTCATGTTTCTCACTTTTGATCTTTTTTTTTCATTCTTGTATTTCTTTATTATTATTTTATTATTACAATATTGTTGTTGTTATTATTATTATTATTATTATTATTATTATTATTATTATTATTATTATTATTATTATTATTATTGTTCTCATTCTTATTTTAATTTTGTGTATTTTTTATTAAAATTTTTACTTACTATGAATAATTATTATTATTCCTGTATTATCACTATTATTATTACCTGTATTATTATAATCATTATTACTACGGTATTTAATTTTCACCCACCAGGCCCCTATGTGGGTCAGTGACATGTGCCCGGGTGGGCTAATACACCCCCCCCCCCAAAAGAAAAAAAAGAAAAAGAAAAAATTGCTCCAAAAAAATTGGTTTTCGTATTTTTTATTTTGAATTTCGATATTGTCAGAAAGATATATATATATATATATATATATATATATATAGTATATATATATATATATATATATATATATATATATATATATATATATATATATATATATATATATATATATATATATATATATATATATATATATATATATATATATATATATATATATATATATATTTTTTTTTTTTTTTGTTATGAAATTATAGTACAGTCAAAACTTATTAACTTTTAGGTTAGATCATAAATTAATGGGAAAGATTGATGCTGTCTCACATTTTGTATTACTTCATCAAAATTACTGGCTCACTTTACTGAAACTTTTAAGAAAGTTCCCTTCAGAAACTGTCGAACATTGTCACTTGCCATTGCAGATTGACTAAGGCCTTGCAGCCTTTTGTTATGTTCTTGTAAAATTTTTGTATGCAGTATATACAGAACTCCTTTCTTCCCCCAGATAAAAAAAGCTGACCCCTTGCAGAGTATGGAGTTTTCAGGATTCAAGAAGCAGAAAACATGATTTTCAACTGTTATTGGATAAGTTGTTTGTCAATAGATTTTCTGTACTTTACAATGCAAATTTTCTGTACGGTACATACAATATATGTAAACAGTGAAATAAATATTTTTTGTTCTTTCTAAAGGGACTTGTTTTTGTTATCTGTTAATAAGCCAAGATTCACTTTTTATGCAGAGGTGTGTACATCACTCTGGCATGAACTGTAGATGAATAAGTTAGATGTTGGAATTTTCTTCTTCACATCACAAACTTAGGAGGGGTGTAGCAGTCAAACCTTTTCCTCCTATGGTAGATTTCTTAATATATTTTGTGACATTTTTTATTCATTGCATTTGTAGATTTATCATTTATTTTCTGAATGGTTTTATGTTTAGTTCTTTGTGACAGTTTTGACAACTGGTTTTTGTACTGTAGTAGTAGTAATAATAATAGTGGTGGTAATCGTAGGAGTTGTAGTAGTAGTTGTTGCAGTAGTACTGTAATAGTATTGAAGAGGAAATGATGACTTGTTAACTTTTCAGGGATAAAGACCCCTGGTATGTGAAAGGAATAATGGCTGGATCATTTTGGGGTTTGAATCAGGGCTGCCGTTTAATCCTCAGCTGTATGACGTCATTTTTCCTCACATTTTCTTTACGTATTAATGTAGGTAATATCTTGGCAAAACGATAGATTTGGGTAAATAATGCCATTTTCACTGCTCCATTAGTTTAATATAAATATGCACATACAGTACAAAAACTCTATAACCTTTTAATATTATAACATAACATAGGAGCATTAAACACTAATTTAAAAAACAATGTTAAACAGACATTAGCATCCTCTGATTTGGTGTAAAATTTATACATCCACCCTGGAATTTCACAGCCTCAGACAAGGCATTTCTGGGTTTTGTTTTCATTAAATTAAATTTAGAAAATAGTCTCTGCATCAAACTGGGGTTTCCACAGCAGTCAAGGGTCCCATTTTGACTTTGCAAGTCATTTATTACCCACAATCCATTTATACTTTACATTATCTGTTGATATATGCCTAAGGAGTTGATAAAAAATTTCATATATATTACCAAAGAAATTTTTTTTAATTCCTTTACATTTTATATGGATTTCTAACAAAGAGGAATATATTCCTCATAGTATTTCGGTGAGGACAGACTCTCCTCATGACGTCACTCACTGTCATTTGTATTCCTCGTTGGCAGACAATACAGTAGAACGTCGATATAACATGAGATACATTCCAAGAGAGGTCGCTTTAAACCGAATTCGCACTAAATCGAAGTGTTGTTTCAGTGGAATAATTTAGTTTGGTACTTGAGAGAAACACAAAATACTAAAAAGACTGAGTCTACCCAAATGCACCTCAGCCCATCTCCTAGAATAAACAAAACAATGTTTTTTGTAGTATTATGTTCAAACAAACACTCATAAATCAACACAGCTAAAATTATGTGATGTGAAATGGCCTGTTTACTAGTGATCAGCTGATGTGAAGATTGGGTGGGGGGGGGAAGGTGAGGTGATATGCCTTTAAGTTTTTCTCTTATAAAATGTCACTGAACTGACATGTTCTAATTAGTTTTATTACAAAGGGCTAAAAATTTTATCTCTTGTGCAAAATATTTGATGTTTATACTCAAATTATTTGCTGTCTTGCAAGGATTCTAGCAGTGCAAATTATATTCTCCTAACTCTAGTCTGTGATATTATATAAGATAAAAACTAAGCCTATAACCACCAAACCCTGGCTAGGAAGATGGGGAGAAGTGACAGTGACATTTTGACAATTGGGGCCGAAGGTCTAATGAAGTATTTATTTGTTTATATATGTCCTTTAGATTGAGTTTTTGTTTTTTGCTAATAAAATGTCACAGAAGTGACCGGGGAGAATATAATTTACGAGACAAAAATTTTAGTAATCATTTAGTACATTATTTTGAGTACATGTATAGTACAGCTTTGCCCTTAGGACAGAGTAGTGTGCCCAGAGAAACATTAGGCGCAAATTTTAAAATATGATGCGCCAGATTGACTCGCGCAAAATGGGAAAGATGCTTTAAATCAATAATCTTAAATAGTATCGCTTTAAATCGACGTTCTACTGTATTCCTCAAAACAGCAGCCCTAGTTTCCATAAGTTAACCTGATACTGTTGTTTGCTATCAAAGAACAGCAAAGTCGTAAGATCTATTTCATTCATTATATTTTCAAGGTTTGTTAATATTCAATAGATAACTGAATTCTACAGGGAGACAAACTGGGTAAAAAATTTTTTTTTTAATAATTTGAGTTTTATTATTTCATATACAGTACACAAAAATTGTGAGACAAAATATTTTGTTCTCTGGTCATAAAGTTTTACATCATATAATTAGGATAAATAGTGCTGCCAGTATGGAAAAATAGAGTGATGGTACTAGCTATAGATTTCAATATAGGCTCATCTATCTCATTATGCCATTTGCCTCAACAGTAGTTTAACCTTTGCCATTAAGGTGGTTAGTGGCAGGCTCAACTTTGAACATAACAGAGTAATGGTGATCTAACCCTGCCTGGCCATGAGATTGAAACCATCCAGAGCACTACCAACAGAGGCATGGTTATATATTTTTTTCCATGGGGCAGTTCTTGTCCTACTGTATTGAAGAGTGGTCAGTAGGAAAAAGAGACTGAGCTCATTTTTTTATATTTGCTGCCACACATTCACTTGTGCTGTCTCTTAAACAATATAAGCAATGCCATACTCAACTATCACTTACATACACTAATGATTCCTGCTTATCCACTTCTCTTGCTTCTGGTTTGTACTTCATCCCCATCTTTTCATCTCTTCCTGTCTTCCTCTCAGCATGCCCATACTATTTAAGTGAAACCTGATATGCTGTGTCCAACAATTCATTAGTTTACATACTGCATCTCCTGATTTCTTTGTTTCTTATTTTCACTTCATTTGTTTACCATAAATATTGCTATTAAATAAGTCTTATTTATTGCTTCCTCTTGCATCCAGAACCTTTGTTTCACACTCATATTGTAATGTCAGGTCTAAACTCTTCTGTTTATCCCCAACATTACTTACTTTGTACCTGTTACTTTCTCAGACAAATAAAGAGTTCAAATGAAGAGTAAGTAGAGAATATTAAAGAAGTCAAGAGATGGAAGTGAAGAAAGAGAAACATCTCCCAGTTATAAATACAGTATTGCAATGTTATGAGTAACAATATTTTATGGACATTTTAATGTGTTACTTCAGTACCGTATATCTCAGCCTACAAGACGGAATTTGAACAAAAAAAAAATCAGCCCAAAGTTAGGGGGTCGTCTTAAGCACCAGAGATAAAATTCTTACCTCTTAAATATTGCGGTTTAGCGTGTCAAGAGTGGTGATGGAAACATGGTAAACCACTCACAAGGTCCTACCACTAATTATTTTATACTGAAACTTACGTTTGGGAAGCTGGATTAAAATGAAGATTACCGGTATATTAAAATAATAAAAATGTATTATAAACCAGTCTAACATACCGTAAAAGAACAATATACCCCGGTAATAAACACAGCTGCTATCATCACCCACCCACCCCCCCATTTGCCAGTGACAAGAAAGGGAAAGTGACCTTGACTGTGACCGCCTGTGGCTATTTTTAGCCGTCCTTGTGTTCGGAGGTGGTCAGTAATGCATATCTGTATATTTACTGATCATAATACTTATCTACTATAAATAATTCATTTAAAATTTATTTTTTTTACAAAGAATATTCAGTAAATGACTGCGTTAATTCTTGAAACTACCTACCGACAGTGGTAAATTTAGGATATAAATGATGAACAGAAGTCATGTCATGGATTCGGAGTTTGGTCCTTAATGATCACCATAAATGTCTGGTCAACTTCACCTACCAGGTATAATGGTAGCCTCCCTTTTTTGCGAAACAAGTATATAAATTAAAGAAAATACTTGCAGTGTGTTTAATGTATTACAGTATATTATAAATAAATAAATAAACAAATAAATTGGCAAATCTGTTTCAAGTAAATGGAAATATTTTACTCACACCAACATTAGTTCCAGTTAAATAACTGATGCTTAAGTGAGTCACTAGTGTACACCAGCCGGTAAAATTTGATGCCAATACTTGCAGTGAATTAGCATTATTTTAAATAACCAACCATAAATAAATGGAAAAAAAATCAGGGGTGAGAAACATCATATTGTATGTATGTTGTGTTGTCAAAGGAAGAGAAACAATTGAAACTCTGCAATTGTGTGTAAATGAGGAAAGATAATCAAATCCCCAAGATCGGTCAAATAAGGATATATAGGGTTCACAATACTGTACATTGTGCTTCCAATATCTTCCCAGGCAGCAGAATCTCCCTGTTTGGTAGCTGCCTAAAACTTTTAGTAATATTATTTTGATACAACATGATAAATTAGACAAACAATGAAAATAAACAAACATAAGTTAATACCAAGACCTCTCTGAGAACAGAGGGAAGGAGGTGGAGATAAGACGGCTATTTATAGCCTGTCTTTGTGTAGGAAGTCGACCACACTAGAAATAATTCATTTAAAATTTATATTTTTTACATAGAATATTCAGTACATGACTGTGAATATATATAATCAGACATACTGCTCATAACCCCTTTCAGAGATATAGGTTTAATTTTATTTTTTATCGAATTATTAATCGATATTCCTCGTTTATAGGTCGACCCAAGTTTTTGAGGGTAAAGGAACAACAAAACCTTCAGAGAAACACTACGTCCTATAAACTTGTTTACCATTTATTATTACGACACTTCACACTGAAACGCGGGTAGTTTCAACAAAAATATTGTATATTTCCATTCAAGTATGTATTCAAGTCAATTAGGAGGGAATATTATTGTAATACAATAGTTTTTTTAACTGAAAACCATTCGAAAAGTGATTACGGTAATATATTTTGAACGAAAGAAAGCAAAAGTCATTGTTTTCGTCACAATTTTATCCCACTTTCCACTGTAATACGTACGTCATTTCAGCAAAAAATATTACATTTCCGTGAATGTATTATATCAAGCACAGTATGAATAGAGTATCACTAATATAACAGTATTTTAACCGAAAACTATTAAAAAAACGAGTAACATATCTTGAACATCTGAAGGTTTGGTAAAGTCTTTTGTTTTCGTCATGTAGTTTATCCTAATTTACATTGAAATACATCATGTTTCAGCAAAACTACTATTTATTTTTGAGAATATGGAAATGTAATATTTTTGCTGAAATGACGTACGTATTATAGTGGAAAGTGGGATAAAATCGTGACAAAAACAATGACTTTTGCTTTCTTTCGTTGAAAAGATGTTACCGTAATCGCTTTTCGAATGGTTTTCAGTTAAAAACTGTTGTATTACAATAATATTCTATCCTAATTCACTTGTGATGTAACAGTTTTTTAACTGAAAACGATTCGAAAAACACGTGTACTGTCTAGCTGATACGGCAGAGCCCTGGTCGCGGAGGCTTTGTGTTTGCATCGGCCCTTCTTAAGCAGCTTTTAATTTTAGCGTACGTTGAAATTGTGTTTACCGGTATATTCTTATTTTCTTGCTTCTTATTTTCCAGAAATATGACAAGTTTGTATATAATACAATGTTACGGTACTTTTAATTTACAAGTATTCATTTTTAAAAATACAGAAGACACCAAACAAATACCAGTACTACGGTTATTTGCGTGACTCTCCCGCCAAAAATGACCAAACAGCTGGTACTCTCTCCCTCAGCCCTACCAAAAATAGCCCAACGACATCTTTCTTGTTTATTCTCTTCCAATTTCTCACTTTAACTGGTATTTTTTACTTCATATTGCCTACATCAGATAAACTACAGTAATTGAGGTTAGACACTGTTATAAATTTGATTACCGAGTCCTGGCAGGTGCCGTTAGAACCACCTGACCCTACCAACAGTGTTGCAAGTCAGACAGCATTTTTTTAATCATCCATGTGCACGAGAAAGGATGGATGGATGAAGGCGGCATACAAATATGGCTTAAAAAAGTCTGGAACTTTAGACCAGGGGGACTGCGCAAAGAAAAAAGTCTTCTTGTGTGGGATATGTTTCGGTCACATCTTGTTGACAGTGTTACTGCTGGGATTAGGAAGGAAAACACTGATACAGCTGTGATTCCTGGTGGATTAACAAGTCTTGTCCAACCACTGGATGTTTCCATAAACAAACCATTTAAAGATGCGGTAAGAGTGAAGTGGAACAACTGGATGATAGAAGGCGATAAGACATACACAAAGGGAGGCAACATCCAAGCTCCATCACTAGCAACATTATGTGAATGGATTGTAGAGGCCTGGGATGCAATCAGACCAGAAATTGTGGTGAAATCTTTTAAGAAATGTGGAATTTCGAATGCTCTTGATGGAACAGAAGATGACTTGTTGTGGGATTATGAGGCTAATGAGAGCGTGAATGAGGATGAAGATATTGATGATCCTGTGGCTGATGATGGTGTTGATCCATATGACGATGCTGTTCAAGAAGAGGACTGGGAGTAGCTGTTTGGTGCTGAAGACGATGACTATGAAAATTATTTTGATGGAATTTAATGAAAATATTCAGAAATATGGTATCGTAGTATTTATTCAAGTCAATTAGGATAGAATATTATTGTAATTCAACAGTTTTTTAACTGAAAACCATTCGAAAAGCGATTACGGTAAAATCTTTTGAACGACGAAAGAAAGTGAAAGTCATTGTTTTCGTCACAATTTTATCCCACTTTCCACTGCAATACGTACGTCATTTCAGCAAAAATATTACATTTCCATATTTATTTCTGAGAATATATTCATTCAGGCACAGTTAAGGTAAAATATACTTGTGATGTAATATTTTAATGAAAATATTTATAAATAAGGTATCGTATTTTTCTTTTGTTTCAAATTTATTTAACAAAGATTGATGTTTCAAATTTAATTAACAAAAATTTATGTATCTATAAATAAACTTTTAAAAATGAATACTTTATGTTTTACATACTCCTGTGCATACCATACCATGCATTTGGCTACTTTGGGCTTGCTATGATGACGCAAGAGATCTGCCCTGGCAACTGTACCGACACTAACAGCTGGTGGTGCGTTGGTGCGTCGTTTCCATTGTTTACTGGTAGTTACTGGTAAATATTTTTCAACCTAACGAAACTATTACCCGTATAGAGGTCGACCCCCAACTTTTTGCCAAAAAATTTGGTCTTAAGAACTCGTGCTATACACGGGTATATATATATATATATATATATATATATATATATATATATATATATATATATATATATATATATATATATATATATATATATATATATATATATATATATATATATATATATATATATATATATATATATATATATATATAATATATATATATATATATTATATATATATATATATATATATATTATATATATATACAGGTAGTTCTCCTATAACGCGATAATTGTGTTCATGTAAAATATCGTGTTATAGAAAATCGCGTAATAGAAATAACAGGGCTTATGGAGAAAATAGGGTTCGGTGCAGATTACTCGAAATCAAAAAAATTTAGTAGTTAGCCTAATACAAAGGATAGCACAGTCTAAATAAATGTTACATTCATATCTAATAATGAAATCATACAGTAAATGTAACACTTTAGTTGATGGGGGAGAAGGGTGATTTTGAGGTTGATAAAATCGAGCTTCTCTTCAAGTGTTATATCCTTTCTTTTACGATCATCACCGGGAATTCTATCACCAGAACGCTTCTCGTTGATATTCTTTACAGTACTATATTCACAGTTAATACAGTGGGGTATGCTATAACGAACGAAACTCCTACAACTAACATTATTTAATTTTTTTTTATTTTTTTTCTAATTTATTGTTTTTTATTACAAATATTAATGATATTCTTTATTTCAGGGGTTTAGATACATATTTATGCACTTTTTTACAATTTTTACAATTTTATATTATATTTTTCAGTGTTAAGTGGTTGTATTTGGGGGCCTGGAACGGATTAATCCTATAACGAACGAATGCTATAACAAACAAGGTTCTAGAACCAATTAGATTCATTATAGCATACTCCACTGTACCACAAAATTGGAGAAATAGTAAGCAAAAATCGCGTTATAGCAAACAAGCGTTCGCGTTATACAAATATCGTTCTTAATTCATAAATCGCGTTAGAGCAAATTCGCGTTATCAAAACACGCGTTATAGCAGAACTCACTGTACATATATATATATATATATATATATATATATATATATATATATATATATATATATATATATATATATATATATATATATATATATATATATATATATATATATATATATATATGCAAGTAAATCACTGTAGGTGCGCGTGATCTAGGTATATGCTGATAACCACAAGGAAACAATCCAGAAAGATTCACCAAAGCAATCCAAGCCCTTAAGAAAAATAAGGATCTACATGTCACTAAAGCAGATAAAGCCAACACAGTAGTGATCTTAAACAAAGATGACTATATCTCTAAAATGAATGACCTCTTATGTGATACTACAACATATTCTAAACTCATAAATAATCCTCTCAACACTGTCAACACCCAGTTCAACAAAAAACTGAAGTCCCTATTGAGAGGCAAAGCTACGCTCATTAAACATCTTACTTCAACGTCCCCTCCACTGCCATACATGTACGGTGTAATCAAGAATTGGCCTTATTTTAAAAAACCAAGGATGTGTAAACAGCACTGGTCAATGGGATGGTTGGTAAAGGACTACTGTGTCAGTAAGCTCCCAATGGTAAGTGTCACATTTGGGGTACTGGTCTTATACAGCGAATAGGGCTCAAAAGCTACTTTTTAAATGGAAATTTTGGGGGCCGTCTTATACACCCCGTCGCCTTGTAGGCTGAGATATACGGTACTTAAATCAGTAATTACCAGACCTTGATAGTTTAAAATGACAGGAAGGAAGTTAAACAGAAAAATTGACATGCTATGCTGAAACTAAAACATGTTATGCTGTTTTACCTCTCACACATTTACAGTTGACAGTGAGAAGGTTAACTTAAGAGATGGCAACACCCTGGCAAGAGAGATTATTATAGCTCAGGGCATCGGCGTAGAGTGCCTTGCCTATGACATACCTTAACAGAACAATGCCCCACCAACTCTGCCTAGCCACTGGATAACCTGTATCTGAAGAATTTGGAATAAAGTATTCCCAACCGAGCCACAGAGTCCTATATCCAGATGGAGGTTGAGAGAAGCATTCCATTCTGTTTTCTCTTGTCTCTGAGGCTATGGGTCTCTTAAGACAGCCAGAAGGGGGATAGTAACTATGTTTATCTATTATTTTATAATTTTGTGTTTTCTATAAAACTTTTGTCCTCTATCTCCTCTTCATCTGATCCAGTTGGTTTATCAATAATTGACTCCACTGAGATACTCTTTTCTGTTTCACTACCAAGAGTATGAGTAGAAGCTGTTGGTAAGCTGTTGTTGCACTCAGCTGGGACATTACTCGTGCTGACACATGCAGTTTGCCGATTATCAATGCTTTCAGCACTATATGTTGTATTTGTGTTAGACTTTCTCTCGAAGTATTCTTGTATCTGCTCCAGAGTTTTGCCCTTTGTCTCCGGAACAAAGAGGAAAGAGATGAGGCAACATATAAGGCAGACTCCACCATAGAAGAAGAAGACTGTATGTGCCCCTGTGGCCTCTTCAAAGTGTGGGTAAATCTGTAACAAGTAATGCAATGATAATGAAAGCAAATCCTATGAGCCTGATTGCTTGTTAGGGACAGGACAGATACAGCATTGTAAATAATAATCCTTTGATACTCAAGAAGGCAGTCAAGTGATTCATAGTAATAAAGGAGCCTTTTTTTTCTGTCTGGAGAGAGAGAGAGAGATTTCATTTCTAACATGATTTTTGTGTATATTGGTATGTACTGTATGTCGTTTGGCCCAGCATCTTAACTTGATATTTGTTATGAATAGAGTGTGGGTTAATCATTTCACAATGAGCCATTTTACATATCTCAGTTTTCCTTTTTATTAAAATTAGTACTTGAAAAATATTATACTTCATACCTTAAAGTCTTACCTGTATGATAATGAAGTTAAGGATGCGATTGTAGAAAAACGTGACAGAATTGGCTGTGGACCTGATTGTAGTGTTGAAGAGTTCAGTAGCAAATAGCCAGGGAATGGTACGAGATCCCAGACAGTACCCAAAAACTGACACTAGTATGGTGGCCAGTGGCACCCAGCTTGGCCCATGTTCACCCACAACGTTGTACATGTAATAATAAACACCAAGTGTCACTGTTGATGTCCCCATTACGAAAGTAGAAAGCACGATCATGGGCCGACGTCCAGCGTGATCCATCAGTAAGACGGAAAATAATGTACCGGCAATTTGTACCAAACCCGTGTACAAAACGGCCATATTCACGTTCACTACACCAGCTGATGAGAAAATTGTTCCTGTATACATCATGAGGATGTTGCAACCACTACCTTGTTGTAATGTCATCATAAAGAGCGCCAGTAAAAATGGCTTACGTGTACGAGGTCTCCACAACTCACGAAATTCCACTTTCCTTCCCACTGAAGTTAATTTGGCCTCCATTTCAGTGATTTCTTCAAATAAGTCATAGTTTGGTCCTCTGAGCCACTGGAGAGCTGCTTCAGCATCTTCTCTTCTACCTTTGAGGAGTAGCCAATATGGAGATTCTGGAACAAACAACATGGCAGCAGTCGTAAGAATACAAGGAGCTGCACAGAGGTAGCAGCTGATGCGCCAAGGGAAAAATGCGCCTGTTATGTATGACCACACAACTCCAAACGTGATGAAGAGTGAGGATAGTGAACCAAGTCGTCCCCTCAGCCTAGCTTCTGGAGCTTCACTGCAGTAAACCTGGAAATGGAATAATCATTAAAAGTGTGTTATTTCAATAACAAATTCTCAAAATTCCTGTAAAGTTTCTGTAACAGAGCTCATCATAAAAAGATGGACCAACATTTGCAAACTTAATCTGGTGTATGATGCCAGTTACTATACTGTGATATCATATTGTTCATGTTTTGGTTTGTTTTTGAACATGATATTTACTCCATATTAGTAGAATTTTCAAACCTTAGGTTTGAATATGCAAGTATTTTTTTTTTTGTTATCCAAAAGTATGAAAATTGCCTGTCATAAGAGACATATGGCTGGGAATAGTGGTGAAAGGATGTAAAGAAAACAATCACATCTTACAGGCACAGCTGAAAATAAGAATGCAGTTGAAGCTCCACATATAGCACGGCCAGTTAACACAAGGGCCAGATTAGGGGCCAGGGCCATTGTGACCCAGCCAATAAGTGTTACAGGGCACATGATAAGGATGGTGGTGCGTCGTCCAAGTAGGTCTATCACGCGTCCTGCCACTGGGCTTCCCACTACTGCTGCCATGGCAATTATACCCACTGGTGGAGGCAAAAACAGTACGTAGTTAATTATGATATTGTTGATGTGTATAGACTGAAGAAACTCATGGGTGCTTTTAACTGTACTTTTTGCATAATTCAGATTTTGGAATGAAACATAAAACACCTTACTCAAGCATGTGGCAGTAACTTGGGGAAGACTTCCACATGGTTTAGCTCATAACAGACTAAAAGTTTATATTCATATACTGTATCATTAACCATATCAATGGGATATATGAAGGTTTCAAACAAGAAATTATTCACATTTGACATCACAATGGAAGAAGAGAAATGTTATTAACAGTGTTACTTGCTGGTTAGGCAGTCAGATCTGTTTTTTAGATGGCAAATACTGAGTATGCACAGTTTTTTCTGTACCTGAGTATGTTCTAGAGTTTATCAAGTCTTCACTTAAAAGAGCTCTCACACGTGTTGTCATAATATGCTCGGGCTAATTATTGCACTAGTTCACAAATACTTCAAAGAAGTTATCTATGACAACTTCTTGTACCGATATACAATTTGAGGTGTGACCATGTAGGGCGGTCATCTGCTAACTCCAGGTGCATACATTTTACAGTTAGTCCTTTGTGATATTTAATAACCTCTTTAGTTGTCCTTTGCCTTTCTGTAATTTAAACAGTCTTGGTAAGTGAGATTTGGTACCCCTCCTTTGGATGTTCTCAATCAGTTGTCAGTCTTTGGTATATCAATTTACAAACTTTTGGTATCTGAAATTTCATATTAATGAAATAGATAAATTAGGAACATTTTCCATATTCACAAGCAGTATACACGATAATGAAATCCTATATAGATTTGAAGTGTATCGCTGCACTAATATTTTTCCCTTTAGTACAATTTATTAAAAAATATCAAAAGTGGATTGGTGATAGACAGGGCATCCAGACATAAAACTTACTTCAAACAAACTTGATGGCAACCAGGATGCCATGCCCTCAAGTAGTCACGGCTAACCCAAGCAAGCTTGCAAAATGGTGATGATGATGAATAAAGATTCACCAGATATTAAGATATAAATCTGTACTGTAAACTATTGGTAACCAGATTGTTTTGTTTATTTTAACCCGTACAGCGTCAACGGCTTATCAGTTACGCCACAATGTGTCTGTACTCCCAGCGTCAACGGCGTAACAGTTAGGCCGATATACTTTCGAGATAAATGAATAAGTACTGTAAAATCTATACTTATAATGCAAAAGTGAAACCAAATAAAAAATAAATAATTATAAAATCATACAAAAAAAAAGTGGTGAAAATTATTATGAAAATGAGTGTAAATACTGTAATACAAAAAAGGATAAATATATTGATGTTCCAAAATCGACATAGACAATAAATAAAGAAAAAACAGCTACAGGCGGTGAAAACTTACGGTAATTAGCATAATTCCACTCTCACTCGATGAAAAACGTCAATACCCGTAAAACTCTACGGGTTCTACGCCACGACACGTTCACCCATGGGTGTAACTACACCTTCCATGGTCCGGTGAGTTGCTAAATGATGTTTTTCCTTCATTATATGATAGTATAAGTCTATTTCAGCCCAAATCCAAAAGTCGAAAAATTGCCGATGCCAGGTGAACATATTTATACAGGGTATTAACTTTGCTGACGCCGTACGGGTTAAATATGTAGTGTAGCATGCAGCCATATTGGAGGTACAGTATGTATAATATGGACACAAAGTAGTACCTTAAGCTGTGTATTCTTATATTACTCTATCAATTATGTATAGTAAAGTATTACAGAACATGTATTAATCCTATGTAATATTTCCATTTATTATGCACCATGTTATGTATGTGAATTATCATATTTACATTTTATGTATTCAGCTTGTGAATGCTGGCATCTGTACATGCCAGCACGGAGTGATACAGAGAGTTGAGATCGCTAGTCCTTATGGTGTGGAAGCCCACGTCTATTTGTTTCCTCTGTATATCTCCTGTACGAGAATAAGAACCTATTTTCAAGATAACAAGTGTTTGTGTATCAAAGACAAACATAGATGGCGCAGTGAGATTTCTCAGTGAGATTCAGAGTGAACTTAGCCTTCCCGCCGGACTGTGTTAATGGCTTCTCGTCTTCAGCTTCACCAAGGATTTACAGCCAGACTAGAAGCCTCAGGACTTACAGTGTTGTGAAGTGCTATGCTGTGTACAGTGCTGTGCTCTGAAGTGAAGTGTTCTGTGAAGTGCTGTGTTGTGTATTTTAATCAGAATTGTCTGCAAACTGCAGTCAGGTGACTGAGGGAGCTGCCCAGCAGTACAACCCCTCCCGCCTACGGTCATTGGGTAACTGAGCAGCGCGCATTAAGACAACTTCGGTTCAGTTGTGACTTGTGCCCAGCTGCTTCTATGTCTGGCAGCGCGCCAAGCCTCCCGGCAACGAGCCATACACACACACACGCACTCACAGGCCCACTTTATATTAAATTCTTGTGTATTACTTTAGACTTCTGTAGTTCTGTGCATAGATTATGAGGGGTTGACCCGGTCTCTTGCACAGATAGAGTACAGAAGCTGTCGGCATGTCTCACAGGGATCAAAAAGATACCCTGGACGATGGGGTTATGAGTTTAAGCTTGGGAGATCTCTCCCCACCCACACTCAGGCCCCACGCTCCCCACAGTGACAACGCCCAATCACCCACAGAATCTCCTCGTTCGTTGCGAGCGAGCTCTCCTGCGGTGCCTGCGTCCAAGGATCTCTTTCAACTGATTAAGTGGATGGAAACTTCTCGACACCAGGACTATGTTGCAAGGAGAGAAGAGGAAGAAATTCGGTACAGAGAGTCTGAAAGACGACGCCACGAAGATGAACAAAGACGCAGAGAACTAGAAGATACACGTAGAAGTGAGGATGACCTGAGAAGAAGAGAGGATCAAGACAGATTTGAAGCCTTGATTTCCCTGTTAGCCTCCCCACAACGATCTACTCTACAAGATTCTTCTGCTACTACTAATGCTGATACGACTAGTGGTACTGGTACCTCATTTCCCAGAGTCGGTTCAACAATTCCTCAAAAGGCTGCAGCACAAACGCCTCCCTCTCTGAAGTCTGACGCTTCTTATCCGATATTTCGGGAATGGCGTCGACGTTGGCAAGACTATGCAACAATGGTTGACCTGTCAAGTTTACCACAGCCTAAACAGATGATACAGCTTCGTATGTGCTTGTCCTTAGAGACACAACGTACTCTCGAGCACACACTTCAAGTGCCTCCTACGACAACTCTGACTGTAGAGGCCGTGCTCGACAAGTTACAGGAACATGTTAAGGAACAACGCAAAGAAGCACTCAGAAGAAGAGAACTCCTCCAATGTAAGCAGCTTGATGGAGAATCTTTTGATGCATTTTTTGTAAGACTGAAAAGATGTTCAGAGGAAGTTGATGTTTGTCCTGGACATTCTCAAGTTTGTGAAGAGACACAACTCAAGACAATTATTTTAACGGGTATTCGAGATGAAGAGCTAGTTCTGCGTCTCATTTCACTTGACCCCACTTCCTCCCTTCAAGATGTAGTTGCAAAATGTCGAGCGCACGAGGCCGCCAGGTGTGCGACTTCAGCTTTACGCTCACAACCTGACCAGGTGAGGGCGGTGTCTTCCTACAGAAAGGGTAAGAAGCAGCAAGATAACCCCACCCCTCACCCTCCAGCTACACCTTCAGCAGCAGCTTTGTGTAACAGCTGCACGAGACAGCATGATGCCTCCCAGTGCCCAGCTGCTCAAAGCGTGTGCAGAAGTTGCGACCGCCAGGGTCACTGGGCTTACACAGTCAAGTGCCCTGCTAGCAAAGTTCAGTGCAGACTTTGTGGTCGTGTGGGCCATTATGACAAATGTTGTCGTAAGAAGACACAGAGGACACCACCAAGGATCCAAGAAGTCATCCTTAGGTAGTGCTGGCGCGCCCCCTCCTTCTGGCAAGCATCAAGATGCTGTGCCCAGTCGTTCCTGCCGTCGTGTACATTGTTCCACAGACACGACGCCCCAGCACATCAGTGTCGTCATTTCTCACGGTAACTTGTCATCCAGTCTTCAGATGTTACTTGACACCGGTGCTGACGTCTCAGTAATTGGTCCGCAACCTACAGCCCCCTCCTCGGACAACGAAATTGACAGCTGATGGTTTCAAGATGGCTCCAGCTTTGGGATCTTTCTGGGCTACTCTTACCTTTGGTAAGCAGTCTTGCTCAGCCCGGATTGATGTTCATGATGGGATCCCGACTCCGCTTTTATCATATGGCCCTTGTCAAGAGTTGGCCATTATTTCCAAGGAATTCCCCAAACCTATTTTAAAGGTCACCCATGTCAACAGGTTGAAGGAACTCCCTATCTCTACTAACACGTCCCCTTCTGACGCAAGAGCTTACCTTCTCAAGGAGTTTGCTGACGTGTTGGTTACGAAGAAATCTTAAGGATCCAGACCACTCAAGCCGATGGTGGGTCCACCTATGAAGATTCGTCTTAAGGATGGTGCCACACCTTTTGCCATCCACACCCCTCGTTTGATTCCTCACGCCTACAAGGAGCTAGTTAGACAAGAGCTTGACTCCATGGTCGCTCAGGGAATCATCAAGCCGGCCGGAGACGAACCTTCACCTTGGTGCCACCCTCTCGTCCCTGTCGCCAAACCTCGTGGTGGAGTACGGATCACCACCGATCTATCAAAACTTAACCAGCAAGTTTCCCGTCCAGCCCACCCTTCACCCACACCCTTCGCAGCTGTTCGAAATGTGGACCCGAAGGCGAAATTTTTTACAATGATGGACGCCTTATGTGGTTATTGGCAGATCGAATTGGTCGAAGAAGACCAGCATTTGACTACATTCATCACACCATATGGAAGATATCAGTATTGCAGAGGCCCCATGGGATTTGCCGCTACGGGCGATGCATTCTGTCAACGTGGTGACGCGGCCCTTCAAGGAGTCACGAATTGTGTCAAGGTGGTTGATGATATTTTACTCCATGACGAAGACTACTGTGCCCACCTCTCCCGAATATATGAAGTTCTCACCAGATGTCGGAAGTACGGGATTACCCTCAACGCTGACAAGTTTGTAGTCGCCGCACCATCAGTGAACTTCTGTGGGTACACTCTCTCAGCATCAGGTATCGCAGCTGACCCGGAGAAATTAATTGGAATCAGGGATTTTCCAACCCCTGCCAACCTGACAGACCTCCGTTCTTTTTTGGGTCTGGTCAATCAGCTGGCTGAATTTACACCTGACATCTCCGCCGCAGCCCAGCCGTTACGCCCCCTGCTGAGCCCCAGGAAGACATTCCTGTGGACCCCAGATCAAAAAGAGGCCTTCCAGCGAGTCAAGCAGGCCCTCTTAAGTCCACCTGTCCTCGCCTGTTACGACCCAGCCCTACCCACCGTCCTCCAGACTGACGCCTCCAGACTCTACGGCGTTGGTTACGCCCTTCTGCAGGACCATGGCGGTGGACAACTCCGCTTAATTCAGTGTGGATCCCGGTTCCTGACAGACGCCGAGACCTGATTTGCCACGATTGAGCTGGAGATGTTGGCTGTTGTCTGGACGATGGCGAAGTGCCGCTTCTACCTGATAGGACTTCAGCACTTCACCCTCTTCACGGAACACCGCCCTCTTGTACCTATTATCAATCACTACTCTTTGGATACAGTAGAGAACCCTCGCCTTCAACGTTTGAATGAGAAGCTCTCGCCTTATCTCTTCACGGCTGTGTGGCGTGCGGGTAAGCTGCTGTGCATCCTGGATGCTCTGTCCCGCGCCCCTGTCAGTCGCCCCACCCCAGAGGGCGAGATGTTGTGTTCTACAGCTGCCGCATCCCTCAAGTCAGTAGTCTCATTGAAGGCCGTCTTCACATCAGAAGAGTCTACAGCAAGGGATGCAGACAAGACCCTTGAAGATCTCCGCACCGCAGCCCGGGCCGACCCTTCCTATATCCGGCTCGTCGACTGTGTGTCCCAGGGATTTCCATCTAACCGATACGACCTTCATGAATCGCTACTCCCATACTGGAAGATACGTGAGGACCTCTATTGTGACGGAGACCTCGTCTTGTATGGTCCACAAGTAGTCATTCCTGCTGCCCTACGCCGCCGTACCTTGACCCGCCTTAACGACAGCCATCGAGGAGTGGAGGCCACCAAGCGACGGGCGAAGCAGACTGTATTTTGGCCCGGAATCGACGCGGACATTGCAAGTACCGTCCGTGTCTGTGAGCCTTGCCAGATTCTGCAACCCAGCCAGCAACAGGAACCTTTAATGTGCGACAATAACCCTTTGAGTCTGTGTCGGCCGACTTCTTTGCAGTGGCAGGGAAGTCCTTCCTTGTCATTGCCGACCGACTGTCTGGATGGCCTGTTGTCGTCCCCTGTGGTAGTGATACAACGGCTACTGCTACCATCCGGAATTTCAGACATTACTTCAGAGAAGTTGGTGTTCCCCTCCGCCTCAGGACTGATGGAGGACCCCAGTTCACCAGCCACGAGTTCCGGGACTTCATGGACCGTTGGGGAGTCCGTCATGTCGTGACCTCGCCCCACTACCCCCAGGCGAATGGACACGCTGAAGCCGCAGTCAAGACTGTTAAACACCTGATCCTTAAGGTGTCACCCTCAGGAAATATCGACTGTGAGGACTTCGATCGAGGTTTGTTAGAGTTACGCAACACCCCGAACTTCACCGGACACTCCTCAGCCCAGGTTCTATATGGACATCATCTCAGGTCTTGTGTTCCTGCCCACCCGAAGTCTTTTTCTCAAGAATGGCAGGCCAAGACTGAAGGAATGTGACCGCCGTGCAGCAGAACGAGCCGCAGATGTCGCTGCTCGGTACGACTGTCATGCCCGCCCCTTCCCAGGTTGAGTATCGGCCAGCAGGTCAGGATTCAAGATCCGGTATCTCACCGCTGGGACAAGGTTGGGGTTGTCATGGGTATTGGCCAGTCCAGGGACTACCAAGTGCGTCTTCCTAGTGGTAGAGTATGGTGGAGGAACCGTCGTTTCCTCCGACCTGTGGAGCTGCCAAGTGTTGACCCTTCCCCAGTAGAGTCCCCTAATGCTGATGTCTTTACAGTAAATCCATTCCCACCCTGTGTTTCTGCCCCGGTACTCCGCAGGTCCGAGTGACTCAGAAACAAAAGGTCCGCTCAAGATGAAATTATGAGCGTGTAGGGGGGAGGGAGGTGTATAATATAGACACAAAGTAGTACCTTAAGCTGTGTATTCTTATATTACTCTATTAATTATGTATAGTAAAGTATTACAGAACATGTATTAATCCTATGTAATATTTCCATTTATTATGCACCATGTTATGTATGTGAATTATCATATTTACATTTTATGTATTCAGCTTGTGAATGCTGGCATCTGTACATGCCAGCGCGGAGTGATACAGAGAGTTGAGATCGCTAGTCCTTATGGTGTGGAAGCCCACGTCTATTTGTTTCCTCTGTATATCTCCCGTATGAGAATAAGAACCTATTTTCAAGATAACAAGTGTTTGTGTATACCCTCAGTAGTGTAGAACATTTGGGGGGTATCAAAGACAAACATAGACAGTACATACTGTACAATAATATATTTTACCCTCCACGACAGCTTTTTCTTAGAATTGAGTAATTATTTTATTATTTATGTACAGTATTTTAAATCTTTTTATGTTTTCTTATACCCTGGAGTGCTGTATTTTATAATCGAATTCACATTCTTTTATGCTAGATAAAGAGTTGTAAAGACTGTCAAAACTCCTCTTTAATACAGTATTTTCCTATAGATTTATAGGGCAAGTCTTCCCTTCTGAATATATATAGTTTTGATAGCTGAATGTCTTCTTTCTCTTTTTCTAGGAATGCATTCTTTTTGTAAGAAGAGGAATAGCTGTACTTCAAGTGTGGAAGCACTATACTTTTGAAAAGCCCTATTAGAGACGGACCATCTAAGTACTGCCAGTTTAATAGCAAGCTTTATCTTCTTCTCACTGTGCTCAGAAAACTTCACTTCATGTCACCATACACACTCAAATCTTTCTCACATTTAGATACAGGTACAGAAATGTTTTCATCAAGTAGTAGTAGTACAAGCAAGGTACATAGTCTTGCACTTTGTATTGTTCAGTCGATGCAGAGTACATGTACTTTAGATGTTTAATTACCCGTAATAACTTGTTAACATTTGTTTGGAAGCATCTGCATGTTTATATTTTGTCTGCTTCTCTATAGGTGGAAAGTGGTGGGGTTAAGAGTCCTCATACTTTTCCCACATGCACATTCCTCAAGTATCCCATGATTGCATTTACCACCACTACATTCCTCATGCAGAAATCCTTCAGTCTCCATCCCTTATGTTCCTTGATTCCTCTCTATACAGTACTGCCTCAAGCTCATCAGTAGTTTCCTGTATGCCTCTCTCTGAGTTACTGTGTGATTTGGATTCATGAAAGTATTCTGAAAGGTTTGGTTCTGAAGTTTTGCCTGTTTGTTAAATAATAATCCACTTTGTTTTCATATCTACTGTGACCCTGAGAGAACATGGTTTATTCTCTTGCTTCCTCATTAGTCTAACCAGCAATTTAGGACAATTCTTACGTTCGGGGCTCCTTCACAGTGTTCTAGAAACTCATTTAAGCCATATCTGACTGACTTTGAGGGACTCCATACACCAGAATATTGTTCTTATGCTTTAAATATTTATAATTGAAAAGATGGAATTGAGGACTTGAACTTCTTTTTAAAGATGAATAATGAACAGATTTATCATGCGTCATATGTAAATCAGTAAGGAGCATTGGGGTGTGTACATACCCATCCAAGCATTCTCAGAGGTTCCCATCTGGATTTGTGGGTCAGCATCCATAGAGGTGAGCGTCCCGGCTGTCCAGCCGCTAACAGCACCTGAGGACAAGGTTCCCAGTGCTGCTGCCACACATGCTGCCACCTGCGCACATGTTAACTGATTATTTCATTTCATAAAGTTATAAACAAGAGTACTGTATATAAATACAGTTGATGGAAATACAGTACAAATATAGTAAAGTAAGACATAAAATAGAAAAACACTCATGTGGTACAGATACAAACACTGTCAATCAATCACTGGCTAGTGACAGGGGTGAAGGAGGTTCAGTAGAAGTTTAAAGGGAGGATGGAAGGGACTTTTAGTAGGAGAAGATAGATGCTGTGGCTTAACACAGCTTGCGTGGTGTGGGGTGGTAAGTTTGAGGAGGCAGCAGCACCCAGCCTGGATGCGGCAGGAGGTGATGAGTCAGGTGAAGGTCAGGCGTCAGGTCGAGCAACGGTTTCTCTCTTCTTCCTGGTCAGCTTGATCCCTTGGGTGTGGTGTTTTCTTGGTGTTGTTTGCTTGTTTGATGGACGGGCTACTCGATAGAAATATCTTGGTCTTCTGTTATGGGGACCTTGTTAGATTGAAGTTGACGATCTTCTTTTCCTCCTCTTTTTGCTGTCCTGGACCATCCACTCTCGAGTGTCTAGGTCCTGTTCTTCGTGCCCTAGTTGCTCGTAGTTGTTGAGGAAGTCGGGGGAGGTGATCGTGATGAGGTGTTCGTCTGCCCCAAGGGGCCCGTGGTGTTCTTGTCTCTTGGTAACTTGTGTCTTTTCTTGTTTTTTCTTCTCTTCTTGTGTTTTTGTTTCTTGTTTTTCTTAACTTTGGTGCAAACTAAGTTTCTTGTTTTGGCAAACCTTGACTACCCTGCATTCCTCCTTCCACTTGGGGCAGGTCCGGTCGGCAAAGGAGTGTGGGCCGCTGCAGCAGCACACTTTTTCTCGGTGTTGGGACAGGAGGTGTAGCGGTGTCCGGAGGTACCACACAGGGATCACACATCCTCCTGCGCCTTGCACTTGTTGATGGTGTGTCCGTAGTTCTGGCATTTGAAGCAACGCTTGGGTCGGCAGTAGGGCGTGACTTAGACGGTTTCCCAGGCCAGTTGGACTTCCTGGGGCAGAGTTTCATGGTGTCCAACCAGAGCCGTCGTATCGGACAGCTTCTGGACACAGTGGAGCTGATTCATGAGTAGTTTGTCAATCTCGTCTTGACTCAGGTGGGAAATTTCGGCGTGGGAGATCACTCCCAACTTCAGGTTGTCGTACTGATGGATTATTGGATCACTGAAATGCCGTTGATGGCGGTGAGCTCCTACAGTTGTACGGGTTGGCCATAATCGGCGAAAGCGATCTTTAGGTCTCCATTCAGCTTCAGGCGCTCCACTTTTGTCTCCCCCTTGATCCCTTCAGAGTTAAAAACTCTTTGAGAACTAAGAGGTGGAGTATTTCAGGCAGGTTTTCTCAGCCAGGCACAACCGGATCACTTTGGAGTCTTCAAAGTACAGGACCATGGCCACTTGTGCTCTATGTCAAACACTGTACAGGTGTACTGTACATGTTTTCCAAAAATTGGAGAACAGTTGCCAGCCATGCCTGAGTTGTAAGGCAAATACTGGTAGAATTAGCTACCCGGTGGCTGAAAAGTTAAATGAAAACCAGGAACCTGAAGAATGTATTGCCTGGCATTATAGACTCTTCATTGGCACAAAATAGGTTGTGATGCAGGTTTTATTTAATATTTTATTTTAAAAGGTCATCATCTGCTTCATCTGCTACAGGCCTGGCTCTTGGGGAAAAAACTTGTCCAAAGTTGTTTGGCATTGACGGTAAATTTTGTCCTTGTTCAGCTCCCTGTAGCAGTTGAGGCTATTCTGGAACTGAGGGGGCGCTGGTGGAGCGGTACCGCTCTTGCCTCGCAAGCAAGGTCACGGGTTCGATTCCCGGGCCGGCAGAAGTTATTTGGACAATCTTCCTAGTCTCCTTGGTCCCTGTTCACCTAGCATCAAAGTAGGTACCTGCTGTAAATCGAAAGTTGCGAATTCGTATTCAGGGACAAGTTGTTGGAGCTTCCAATAACTTGCTTACCGTATATCTATGCCTATAAGACGGATTTTGAACTATAAAAAAATCAGCCCAAAGTTAGGGGGTCGTCTTAAGCACCAGATATAAAATTCTTACCTCTTAAATATTGTGGTTTAGCATGTCAAGAGTGGTGATGGAAACATGGTAAACCACTCACAAGGTCCTACCACTTATTATTTTATACTGAAACTTACGTTTGGGAACCTGGATTAAAATGAAGATTACCGGTATATTAAAATAATAAAAATGTATTATAAACCAGTCTAACATACCGTAATAAACACAGCTGCTATTATCATCCCCCCCTCCCCCATTTGCCAGTGACAAGAAAGGGAAAGTGACCTTGACTGTGACCGCCTGTGGCTATTTTTAGCCATCCTTGTGTTCGGAGGTGGTCAGTAATGCATATCTGTATATTTACTGATCATAATACTTATCTCTTATAAATAATTCATTTAAAATTTATTTTTTTACAAAGAACATTCAGTAAATGACTGCGTTAATTCTTGAAACTACCGACAGTGGTAAATTTGGGATTTAAATGATGAACAGAATTCACGTCATGGATTCGGAGTTTGGTCCTTAAGGATCACCATAAATAAATGTCTGGTCAACTTCACCTACCAGGTATAATGGTAGCCTCCCTTTTTCGCGAAACAAGTACCATGTATATAATTAAAGAAAATACTTGCAGTGTGTTTAATATATTACAGTATATTATAAATAAATAAATAAACAAATAAATTGGCAAATCTATTTCAAGTAAATGGAAATATTTTACTCACACCGACATTAGTTCCAGTTAAATAACAGACGCTTAAGTGAGTCACTAGTGTTTACACTACTGTAGGGGTATCGAGATATTAATGTTGTCTAGCACTCAGGATGGAAGGAAACTCTAATGTGGTTTTCTTATATAATATAAGTTATATGATAGACAGTCTGGTGCTGGAGGTGCCGTGTGGTGAGGAGCTGCTTAGTAGAAGACGTTCGGTGAGTAGCGTGTTGGAAGGAGGTAGATGTGCAGGAGCCGTTAGAAGATGTTGCCTGTTGCTGGCCTCCTGGTTGAATGAATGCTGGACAGCTAGGAGCTTGCTGGGAGGTGTTGCTTGTTCAGGAAGATGGGCAGAATGAGAGTTGGTTGGTGAGGAGGCTCAGAGGACAGCTGGTGGGTCGCCATGCTCGCTGGCGGGAGCGAGGACCGCCAGGCAGGCGAGGAGATGCTAGGGGCAGCCAGGCAGCGGCGGAGGAGGAGGTGTTGCTAGTTCAAGAAGAATGGTCAGAATGAATCTCAATGGAGAGACAGAGCTTATATACCCAGCAGCCGCTATGAGTCATGTTGGGAAAACCCAGAAAGTCGCCGGTGACTAGTTCCGTTGCTAAGATACGGTAACATCTGGTTGGTTGCTAGGGAAGGCGGTAGCAGGTGGTGGCTGTGGCTACGCAGTTGTAGGCAGTTGTAGGGGAGACGTCCACTACAATACTCCCCTTCCCTCCAGGCGGTGTAGGAGACTTGTTGTCTGTAGAGTTGCTTAGCACATGTGAGGCAGACCGGGCGGTGCATGCCTCATGTGAGACAACGGCGATGGCGTGATGAGCCGATCGCTGAAATACAACTGTCTAGATACACACTATCTGTGGGAGAAGGGAGAAAAAGGGTGTGTGGAGGCGGTGAATGTTGTGCTTCCCTCACGACAGGTACAGGGTCGTCAGATGCGCCTGCTGGGGTGTGTGTGGGCCTGGGTCAGGAGCAGGGGCTGCGTCAGCAGAAGCGGATTAGGGCTTGTGACAGCAGCTGGGTCCACGACAGCAGCAGGGTGCAGGACATTAGCAGGGAGTACCTGGGGGAGAAAAGAGGGGTGTGTGTGGGTCCGGGTTCAGGAACAGAGGCCGCGTCAGGGGTTATTGCTGGGCCGGGGTCGGCGTCTGAGGCAGGACGGGTGTGCTGGGGTCGTCAGAATGTGGTGCGTGGGGCAGGAAGAGGAGCTGGTGTCTGCTTGAAGACTGGGAGCGTGATCAGTGTCTCCTCCATCCTGTGTGAGTGCTAATCTCCGGGAGTCACCATTTGTAGGGGTATCGAGATATTAATGTTGTCTAGCACTCAGGATGGAAGGAAACTCTAATGTGGTTTTCTTATATAATATAAGTTATATGATAGACAGTCTGGTGCTGGAGGTGCCGTGTGGTGAGGAGCTGCTCAGTAGAAGACGTTCGGTGAGTAGCGTGTTGAAGGAGGTAGATGTGCAGGAGCTTCGTTAGAGAAGATGTTGCCTGTTGCTGGCCTCCTGGTTGAATGAATGTTAACAGCGTGGAGCTTGCTGGAGGAGGTGTTGCTTGTTCAGGAAGATGGGCAGAATGAGAGTTGGTTGGTGAGGAAGCTCAGAGAAGGACAGCTGGTGGGTCGCCATGCTCGCTGGCGGGAGCGAGGACCGCCAGGCAGGCGAGGAGAAGCGAAGGGAGCCAGGCAGCGGCGGAGGAGGAGGTGTTGCTTGTTCAAGAAGAATGGTCAGAATGAACCTCAGTGGAGAGACAGAGCTTATGTACCCAGCAGCCGTTATGAGTCATGCTGGGAAAACCCGAGAAGTCGCCGGTTCCTAGTTCCGTTGCTAAGATACGGTAACATCTGGTTGGTTGCTAGGGAAGGCGGTAGCAGGTGGTGGCTGTGGCTACGCAGTTGTAGGGGAGACGTCCACTACACTACTGTACACCAGCCGGTAAAATTTGATGCCAATACTTTAAGTGAATTGGCCTTATTTTAAATAACCAACCATAAATAAATGCAAAAAGGAAAAAAGATCAAAGGTGAGAAACATTATATTGTATGTATGTTGTGTTGTCAAAGGAAGAGAAACAATTGAGACTCTGCAATTGTGTGTAAATGAGGCAGAAAGATAGATCAGCAACCTAAGACTTGGTCGCAATTTTCGGGATGCCATATGGAAGTAGGGTCTACCATTAGACAATACTGTACATTATGCTTCCAATATCTTCCCAGGCAGTAGAATCTCCCTGTTT